TCTCTTCCAACCTAAATGATTCTATGATAATTTTGTATGTGCAGAACATCATGTTAAATATGACTTCATGTGATAATTAAAGGAGGATGAAAAAATAGTTGACTTGAATATTGAGATGGCTTCAAGAGTTGCAGAATTTCCTATGTGTGATAATATTTGCCATTGATATTTTGTATTGTGTCAAAAGCATAGTTATCGCTTGATAATGGAAATGGGATGACACTGAAGTACTTGCAGCCACTGGCTTAGGTGTGCTGCAGCACTTAGGGCTAACTAAAGCTTCTTGGAGTGGGAAGACTTCATGCCTACCTGTACTGTACGATGCAGTCAACTGAGAGAGAGAGTGTGGCGCTGCTGGCATTGATTTGTCTCTTTGGAGGCTTCATCCCCATTTGATGTTCAGAAGTATCAGCAATTCGAATGTTTCCTGTAGTGGTGATTCTGACATTTTTTCACTCATCTGTGTTAGTCTTGCTCAGAGTAAGCTTCAGATAGCTGTGCTTTGTGTTCAAGTGTTGGAGCAGACTGGTACTGCTGAGTTCTGTTAGGTGCTGATTAGGTCATACTGTGTGTAGTTTGCATGTTACTGGTCTGTTTTTTCATGACTTGGTAATCTAGGACCGAAGGGACATTTGGCCATTGAGTCATGGGAAGGGTTTAGTTGTGGTACTGGTTTCCCAATGGTGCTCTTTGGATAAAAGGCAGTATTTAAGAGCTGAGAGTGTGCTGCAACAAGTGCTTCTTGCACTCACCAGAATAGTTTGAGTCCCTGAGGAAAGAATGAAATCTCCACTTGCCAGTTCGTTTCATAGAAAAGTTGTTAAGTGATAGCTGGTTTTGTGGTCAGCGGTTTTACTTCTGCCTGCTGACAGGAGAAAGTTGTACAAATGCCTCTGAAGGCAGTTTCAGTTTTAGGTGCTGGCTTGAATCTGCAGCTTGGTGATTCAAGCCTGGTGGTTTTTTTTCAGGTGGGAGAGCTTGTTTGTGATTTCAGCTTGGGCTGGCTGCCCTGTGAGCTGGTGAGAAGCAAGCAGACTGACATGGAGTGATTGCTCAGGTCTGATATATCTATGAGGCTGTTAATCAGCAGCCAAAATCTCTTGCACTCTGGAAAAACAGTAGAAATCCACTTGAATAATAAGATGGTGTGTTAGCAGAGAGAGCCTCCACTATCAGTCCTAGGAAAATACTTTTTGGTTAAAATTATTTTGGAATCTAAATTTTTAAGATGGTCAAACTTTCGGAAGCATAATGTACCAGGCTTGGGAGTGTCATGTTTTCAGGGTGAGTTGAGGTATATACATCACCTTGGAAGAGTTGCCAAAATTGGTGGTGTTTTGGAGAAGAATGTCTTGGTAGCTCTTTGAAATACTTGGTCACCTATGGAGTCATTCATAAACAAAGTGGTTTACCATTTAAGTCTGTCAGGAATTGTTAGTTTCTGGAGAAACCAGTTCATTTTTCAGGTCTGTTACACAGCTCCAGGAGTGTTCCCTTTTATAGGATGTGAAACTGCCAGATTTAAAACTACATGGTTTATTAGAGGTGTGTTTTTTGTTATGAGATGCAATTGAGCCAGTGACTTGGTGACGTAGTGGAGTAGTTGTCAGTCTAATGCTGTGTGAGCTCTTAAAACCTCTCTTCTGTCTGTTAACAGGGCATTGACTCTGGGAGGAGGACTGCCACGTTTGGAACACCTTAACCTCTCGGGCTGTCTCACTGTAACTGGTGCAGGCCTGCAGGATTTAGTTTCTGCATGCCCTTCTCTAAATGATGAACACTTTTACTACTGTGACAACATTAACGGTAACGTCTTTTTCTGAAGATGTGGTGCTGTTCTGGGAAGCAACGTTTGGTTTAAGGATGCTTTTTAAAACAAAACAAAAAGAACCACCAAAACCCCACCTCTTTTATTGGCTGTGTAGCACTGAGTTTCACAGATTAATCATGAAATGACAACTGTTAAGTCAGTTTTTCCTCATTTGTTCTTTTAGGTTTTTTTGCTCGACTCTAGTCCAGTTCTGTATTACCTAGGAAAGCATTTTTAGTCCATGTATCTCATATTTTAGATTAGCATAAGTAATAGTGACTAGAAGGTATCTCTATATAGCTAATACATGCTTGCCCTCTCCATGTCTTCCCTGTAAACCATGTAGCTGTATGTTTTCTTTATGGTCATAACTTCAGACAGAGGCTTCATTAGATTGGTACCAAAGCAGTGATTTTTAGGAAAGGAATGACTTGTATTTTGCCATGCAAACCTCCTATATTGCAGTAGTTTTGGTACAGGATATTTTTGATCTTACCATCACATGTCCTTATGGAAAATGTAATTTAGTTTTTCTGGTTTTGCTTGAGTGAGGAACTTGGGCATGGATCTAAGCTAGAGAAGGATCTGGATAAATGCATAAAATACGTTTATGGTGCAAGTCTTTTCAGTGTTCACCACACGGGAATTCAGTCTGTTATGTTAGGTCCAGTAATCATTCAGAGCATTAGAGATGAGAACCATGGCGTGACTTGTGTTCCATGTGTGAATTTAAAACAGGTAAGTGCAACAGAAGGAAAGGGGAAAGGAGGATAACAACTGAGTTCACAGGATTATAAGAGCTAATTGTGTGTAAAACAAAATTGTATTGCCTGGTAGTTCACGGTGTTCAGCTGAATAATTTGCATCTACATTGAGATGCAGCCACAGCAGGGGTACAGGGTGCCAGAGCTTTGGTACTACAAGTAAATCTGTACTGACATTTGGGTATTCAATCCATTGAAATTGATACAAGATGATGCACTTGGATTGGATCCTAATATTAGAAATGAAAGTATTAAATCATTGTTTGCTTCCGTAATTTCTGCACTTTTTTGACACTTTTTTTTTCCCAAGACACTTGCTTTTTGTTACTTACTTCCATTCCATCCAGACTACAGCTTTTAAAAATCTTCTAGCATTTCAACCTGAAAACTTTAAGGTTCCTTTTTTAAAATCCTTCACTGGCTTTCCTTCCTGCATTCTGTTGAGTTTAAAGATGTCTTCAAAGACCAGCTGAAAACCTTGCTTTTACATCTGATTCCTTGCTGGTTTTCCACTGTTTTCACTTCTGTCGGTAATACCAGACTTGGTGTTGTGGCTTGTCTTCAGGCATTTCTGTTTCTCTCCTTGTCCCTAAAGTACACTATGTTGTCTTAGTTTACAAAGCCAGAATTTCTTGTGTGAGTCCACTGCTTTAAAGCTTGACTGTTCTATAATATCCTCAAGAAATTATTTATGTTTAAACAGAATACTTTTTGGGATTATTCTGTAAAGTTGTCCTGATCCTCTTCCTATTTATTTCCTTTCTTTTACTGCCTACTGGAAGCTGTGAGCCTATAAGCTCTGCTTGGTTCTGTAAAGCATGATGCATACCTTTGGATGAACAGTTACTCCTGTTCCAAATCAACAGGAGAGTGAGGCTGTAATGGTCTGACTTCTCACATCTATGGAGAAATAGTAGCATCTCGGAAGTTTGTGGCTGTGGTGGTTTGTTTGTTTGTTTTTTAAGGAGGAGGTCAATAAAAACTTAAAGGGGTGTCCTGAGCAAAATTCTGAAATGGGAAATAACCTTTTACAACTGAATCCCCTGCAGTTTTATCTGGGTACTGTTCTTTGTCTTTTCACTCAGACTTCATTGTGATAGAGCTGTTCAGTGTGAAACTAATGCCGTATTCCACTCTGTGGGCAGCAGGATTTATGTGACAGCTTGAACTATTTCTGTATCATTTGGTATTTCTAAAGTA